TATATGTCCTTTCACCAACGTCACCATCCCATGATCTTGCTCTGTTTTTTTTTTTTTTTTTTTTTTGGTGGGGGGAGACAGATTTCATCTTGCCCAGACTGGTCTCAAACTCCTGGGTTCAAGGGATCCTCCCACCTCTGCCTCCTGAATAGCTGGGACTACAGGCACTTGTCACTTGCCCAGCCATCATTATTGAAACCCTTCTGCCCACACGATCAGAATCTCCTGCTTTAGTCTTGTACTTGAGCCTTGTTACAGAAAGGGAAACTGAGGCCACGGTGAGGAAGGACTTGCTCAGGGTCACACCGCAAACTGGTGATGGATCCCACTGCCTTTTTTCACCTCCTGCCCACCTCAGGTTATCCCCCATTGTGCCCTGAGTCCACAGCCTGGTACCCAGTTCAGCCTAGGCAGAACCCAGGAGAGAAATGGGCAGCGGTTGTGGAATCCACACTGAGGCCTGCTCGTTCTCAGCCCTGGCTCTTTGTCTGCTGCTTTGTGATGGTAAGTGCTGCTCCTAAATCAGTTCTGTGACACTGTTATTGTTGCCCAGGGCGCAAAGAGTCTAAACTTTTCCCCTGAGGTCAAGAATGTGGCCGGTCCCCAAGCCGCCCAGCGTAAGGCCTGGGTGGCTGGGGGTGGGGCTGGGGCCTCACCCCGAGCTGGGGCGAGATGTGGGGGGGAGGGGGTCAGCGGGAACAAAACGCTTTGAAATGCCTCCTCTCCATCACTGCCAACATTGTCCGCTGCCCGCGGGGGGCCTGGCACCGCCTCCCGGGGCTCCGGCCCCCAGCCCTGGCCAGGCCCGGCCGCATCTGAAAATGGACAGAAGGTTATTGTCCCTTCCCGAAGCCCTTTGTCTGCCTCAGTTCCAGATGTCTAGGCTGGGACCAGGGAACTGACCCAGGGTGGGCAGGGGGGAGGGGACAAAGGGGAAGAGCACGGGTCACTGCATCCTGAGGGGTCGTTCCCAGACCCTGAGATCCCACCCAGCCCCAGTCAAGTCACCTTCTGGGCTGTCTTATCCCTGGGATTGTCCCTATTCCCTTGCCCTTTCCCCAGATCTGGTTCTGGCCTCAGGAGAGAAGGCACAGGGGCACAGAGTTAGAACAGGCGGCCTTGGGAGATCCAGCAGATGGGCTGAATTTCAACTCTCTCCAGGTGACTGGTAACTGTGATCTTGGGTACATTGTGGTCCTCTTCCAGCCTGCTTTTCCCTGGACCAGGCTTCACTCACATATTAGGACAGAGCACCCCCCATGTACCCACTCTGTGCTGACCATGGAGGTGCTCCATGGTGGCACTCAGATCCTTCCAGATTGTGGTTAACAGTTACTCTAGCGTTCCCACCACACCTTCTGTGTTGGGTCCTGGACTAATCACTTGCATTTTCTTATTCTTTTCCACAACAAAATCAGGGATGCAGTACCCTTGTTCTTATCTCCATTTTCCAGTTTTGGAGACTGAGAGATTGAGAAAGAAAGTCCCTTGCCCAGAGGAGGTGCTGAGCTGGAATTCTAGCCCAGGCTGACCGCAGCCACCAGGAGTAATCCGCTAATAAATACTTGGAAGGTGTTGTGCACAGCTCCTGGCACAGCGCCCAACTCAACATCCGGGAACTGGTGGGGTGTTAACTCCATCCACTGGTTTCCCCATTTCTCAGAGGCCCAGACTAGGAAAAGAGAGCCAGGGTCAGAGGGCTCAGGGAACCTTAAACAGCAATACCTGGTGTGTGTGTGTGTTGGGGGGGATGATTCCAGAGCCATCAGGATTGGCCAGATAAGCAGGTTTCAAACCCTACTCGCTGTGAGCTATGACTTAGACTCTCTATATTTTGGTTTCCTCTTCTGGAAAGTAAATATGTTCCCCACATCATGAGGTTGTTGGGAAAAGGAAATCAGGTGATGCATCTTAAGCACTCAGCACAATGGCTGCCACACATCAAGCAGTTAAGGGTGGGTATTAGTACTATAATTATTCTGATAAAATTTGATGGCCCTTTGAACCTCCGCATCACCTAGGTTCACCTGAGGACAAGGCTCTGTGTGAGTAGCAAGTCAGCAGTTGTTGGGAGAGGGGAGGATAAAATACTCCATCTTCCTGGAGTCCTTAGAAGTCCTTGGGACAGGACACTCGAGTGGGTTTGGGGAAGGCAAAAAGGATGAGGCCAGGAGGTAGAAGGGCCGCCTGGGCTGGAGGAGTTAACAGCTCCCAGGCCCTGGCCCAGCAGGGCTGCCACGCTGCAGCAGAGCAACGATTTTAGCAGAGGAGCCAGGGCTACTTCCTGATGGGCAAAACAGCTGGCTGCCCAGGGAAAACAGCTGGACTGGTCCCAGCCTCCTGAGAGCAAGGCAGAGCCTCAGAAGAGGACAGCTCCTCATCTGGGGTCCTGGAAGAGGAGGGCATGGCCAAGAGGGAGAGGGTAGTCCTTCAGGATGTGTGTGGGTGTTGGGTGGACCCCTGGAGATGAGAGGGGTGTGAGCAGATTCCAAGAGCAAAGGAAGGATATGCTAACTCTAAACAGTCAGGGCAAGGATGCCTCCAGATGGGATTCAGGGGTCTCAGTCTTCCCTCAAATAGGGAAGATGAGGGACAGGGTTGCATATGGAAGACAAGCCTCTGCTCAGTCCTCTTGGAAGTGGGCTTGGAACCAGAGGTGGGGAGGGGGCCCAGGCTGGGCTCTCAGATTCCCATCAGCTGAGCTGCACCAGGAGCAGGGCCAGGGGCCCATTCTCTGACCAAGATCCTGGGCTTCCTTGGTCACAAAGCAGGACGGGACCCAGAGAGCCCCCAACTCAGGAGCTGTGAAGCTGGCAACTGGTAAGAGCTCTATCCAAGCATCCTCCCTGCTTTGGGTTTCCACTCCTAGCCTGCTTCGCTACCAGGTCATGAGAACTCCCAACCAGAGTGCCTCTCTGGGTCTGGGGCACCTCCAGATTGTTTCTTCTCATTAGCAAGCGATACCTGGGACCTCGAATGAGGTGGGCAAGGTAGGAAGATGGCTAATGGGGGAGTGGCCAGACCCCTTTTAGCCTGAGCTGCCTACCTGGGCCACTGACCTCCAAGTCCCAGCAGCCTGGCACCCCTATTTTCTCTCTGACCAAGGGGGTTCTTCTAGCCTATCTACTTAACCCTCAGATAAGGGCTGGCCCCCAATTTGGGTGTGCCAGCCTCAGTGCCCCTCTCTCTGGTAAAGGCCAGACTATAAAACCTCTGCCAACGAGGAGCAGACCTTGGAGCTCAGGCTCCCAGCCCAATGTGGGTCTTGGGGAGGGGGCCAGTTCTTTCAGGGTCTCTAGCTTATGAAGCCAGAGTGAAGCCTGAGGTGCTGGCGCCACCATCTGGTTTGGTCCAGAACTGAAATGAGTTCTGGAGGGGCAGAACCTGAACCCAACTAGGGGTGGATAGGTCTGTTTTTTGTTTTTGTTTTTAATATTTATTTTTTAATTTTTAGGTGAACACAATATCTTTATTTTATTTTTATATGGTGCTGAGGATCGAACCCAGTGCCTCATACATGCTAGGCAAGCGCTCTACCACTGAGCCACTACCCCAGGCGTGATAGGTCTGCTTTGGATCCTGCTCAGCAGGGTGGACCCCAACGATCATTTTTTTCCCCCAGGCGTGTACCCAACATAACCTGTATGAGGACTTAGGCCTCACAGATCAGCAATTGAAACTTTAGCCTGAATCAGAATTACCTGAAAGGCTTTTTAAAACATTGCCAAAGGCCCGGGGTATAACTCAGTGAAAGAGCACTTTTATAGTATGCGCAAAACCCTGGGTTCAACTCCCAGTATCCCACATATGAAAAAAAACAGATTGCTTGGCATCCACTCAAAGAGCCTGATTCTCTAGGCATGGGATGGAGGCTAGAATTTGCATTTCCAACAGTTTCCAGATGGGGCTGATGGGTCCATGCTTTGACAACTACCATAGCTTTTGAGTTTCTGTGAAGTTGACTAATGTTACTCTTGAAGGGTATATTCTTAAGGCTATTTTGCAAAACAAATAAATGAGCATTAAATTAGACTACAGGCACTTGAGTAGCCCACCTCCATTCATGACCCAATTGTTTTTCTCTTTTTTGTACTGGGGATTGAAACCAAGGGGCACTTTACCACTGAGCCACATCTCCAGCCCTTTTTATTTTTTTATATTGAGACAGGGCCTCACTAAGTTGCTAAGGCTGGCCTTGAACTTGTGATCCTCCTGCCTTAGCCTCCCAAGTTGCTGGGATTACAGGCATGTGCCACTGTCCCTGGCCTCAATCAATCATAAGTCTATGGAGAGCCTACTCGATGCCCTATGCCCATAGGTCCTGCACCAGGGGTAGGGATGGGATGGTGAATGTGGAGGATGGTCCCTGATGTAAAACTCAGAGCCAGATGAGTCTGTCATGACCTTTCTCAACTAGAGTGCCAAAGGCAACACAAAATAAGGTCCAAAACAATGCTGGGTTTTCACATTCCACTTGCCTTTTCTGGGTCCTCTCCATTTAGTAACTAACCCACCACATTCAAGCTAGTGACAATGGCCATCCTGATTTCTTGCTCTGTCATCCACATCCAGTCCCACAGGGCCTGTGGGCTCTGCCTCCACCATACATCTTAGCTCCACCCACCAGAATCATCTCTCTGTGTACTGGGATCTCCCAGGTTTCATCTCTGCCCCCAGGTCCATCTCCTTTTTCCTTTTTTCTTTAATTTATTTTTAGGTGTAGATGGACACAACACAATGCCTTTATTTTTATGTGGTGCTGAGGATTGAACTTGGGTCCTGCCTGTGCTAGGCGAGTGCTCTACTGCTGAGCCACAATCCCAGCCCCCAGGTCCATCTTCTGAGTAGTAGTAGCAGTCTTTTTAAGGTAAATCACATAATTCCTCTGCTGAGTTGCTCATTGTCTTCCTAGCTATTGGACTTTAAAAAAAAAATCCAGGAGCTAGAGTAGATCACAAACTTTGCATGCATGAGGCTCTAGTTCCATCCCCAGCACTGCAGGAAAAAAAAATTCAAAATCCTGTCCTGGTTTCAAGGCCCTGGGTAGCCAGGCTAAGTCCACCCACTGGATGGAGATTTCCCCACATTGCCCTGCTGCCTTGCTCCAGCCACACTGGCTTTCTTGCCTGCTCCACCTCAGGACTTTTGCACCATCTCTCTCCATATGGAACACTTTTCTTCAGATCTTCCTTTGATCCACTCCTCCTTATACTCCAAAATGTCTTCCAGATCTTTCTGAGTGTTGTCCCACTTCCAGCTACTCTCTGTTCTTATTCAGTTGTTCTAATTTGTTTATACTACCTACCATTCCTTGAACTTATTTATTTATGAGTTTGTCTCCTATCTACCCTCATGAACATCCTAACAGCAGAGACTATGTCTGTCTTTTTTTAAAAAAATTTTTTAGATGTTATGGACCTTTATTTTATTCACTTATTTACATACGATGCTGAGAATCAAACCCAGGGCCTCACACATGTTAGGAAAGTGCTCTTACCACTGAGCCACAACTCCAGCCCCTTATGTCTGTCTTTTGCACCTCAGAACCCACAGGACCTCGAGTTCTCTGTGCACTCAGCACATGCTCAGTAAATATCTGTTGAGTGGATGGATGGAGTAGGAGGCTATGTAGGGGTATGCCCCCCAGACATCGCAGCAAGGAAGGCTTTCAGAGGAAGGAAGTGCAGCTGAGACTGCAGGGCCTTAGTGCAGGAGTCACCCTAGAAGGGAAAGGCCAGTCCATACAGAAGGACCTAGAAAACAACAACAGAAAAGGGATATAGGAAGGTTCAAAGTGTGGAGCGTTCTGGAAACTGTAAATTGTTCAATTTGACTGGGGTAGAAGCTGGGCAGGGTCAGAAATCAGAGGAGCTGGAGAAGTAGAAGGCAGGACATTTGGCCTTATTACTCCCTGAAGAATTGGAGCTCCGTGTGGAGGGCAGTGGGAACAGTGTCCTGGCGGGCATTTTAGAATGGGCTGCTGAGTGCAGAATGCTTTCTATGAAGAAAGTTTGGTGGTGGTCCTGCGGTGCTGGGAGGTGCCCTGCCCAGGTGAGAGATGTCAGGGCCCTGAGCCAGGTAGGTGGTGATGCAGAAGGAAGGACGTGGCCATGTGTGCAGGAGACATTGAGGAGCAGCCTGGCCAGGGCTGAATGGGGGAGTCAGAGTCCAAGTCTCAACCTCCAGGGACTCCGTGGACAGACGTGCTGTTCCCTGGAGGTAGGGAGGAAAGAGCAGGTTTTGGGAAAGACTGGGGTTCTGTGTTGGATTGGTCGAGTGAGTTGGGTCCAGGTGGAAAGTTGTACAGTTTAGGGTTCCAGAAAGAGGGAGTGGTCCGTGCAGTCGGCCACAAAGGGAGGCTGTACCCTCTTTGATGACATATGAAGAGGAAGTGTCCACTGGGGGAGTGGCTGGAGGACGCTGGACTCCAGCAGCCTTGGCTTGGGTCAAGCAGTGAACGGAAGTGAAACCAGAAGTGGAGTGCAGATTTCTCTGTCAAGAAGTTTGGAGGGAGAGCAACAGTGCTGCTGCTGCTGGGAGCCTCGCAGATGCCTTAGTGTTTTCTTATTTGAAGTTGGAAAGGATTCAAGTCCTTTGGAATTTGGAAGGAAGAATCCAGAAGAGAGGGAGGTTGGCAATACAGGTAGGGCAAGGGGATGGCATGGAGCCCAGGTGGTTGAGGAAGGGAGTCTCTTTCCTTTTCCTGGCAAGGAAAGCAGAATCCCCAGCTTGGATGCCAGGGGGCTGGGAATGAGAGTTCCCAGGCAATGGCTTCTATTTTCTCCAAAAAGTGGCAGGGGGAGATCCCTGGATGGTTCTGGAAACTGTGAATTGGCCATAGAGTGAGGACCTTGGAAGACTGGGAGCATTTGAAATGCCACTGAGGGGAGTGGGCAGGGAGCACAGGAAACAGGGCTGCTGGCATGAGTGAGAGCCCAGCTGAGGGTGGAGATCAGCAATTTGCAGTGGCTCCAACCTGGCCTTCAGCAAGATGGCTATAGGGTTTTTCCAGACAGAGGTGACAGGAAAATCCTATGGGCCGAAGTCAGTGATAAGTTTGATGACTGGGCACCGGGAAGGTAAGAAGGGAAGAAATAGAAAGGTCAGTGCGCTGGGTGGGAGGAGAGGACTCCATGCCAGGGAAGAATCTGGAAGCCCCCATCTTAGTTCATTTGGGCTGTTATAATAAAATGCATTATTTATTTATTTTTGCAGTGCTGGGGATTAAATCTAGGACACTGTGCGCGTTAGGCATCCCCAGCTCTAGACTCGGTAATTTATAAACAGGAATATATTGCTCACAGTTCTAGAGGCTGGGAAGTTCAAGGTCAAGGTGCCAGCAGATTTGGTGTCTGGTGAAGTTCTGTTCCTCAGAGTGGTGCCTTTTAGTCATGTACTCTTTTGGTAGGAGTGGGGAACAACCTTTTTCAGGCTTCTCTCTCTTTTTTTTTTTTTT